GGGGGGGGGGGGGAGCAGGGAAAAGCAAACGTGTATGTGGATTATAGCAGTGCAGTCACTGCAGATTATATTGGTGCGGTCCATCGCACGGTGCACAAGGACACACTGACTTAGGGCTGGGTTGGCTGACAGCAGGTACCTTGTACTCTCAGTAGCAAGAGTGGGGCCTGGGCTCCTTACCCCAAATGACCTCCTTTCCATTAGGACAGCTGGCAGCAAGGGCTCTTGTCCCTTGCAAGGGCCTGGCACTCACTGCTCAGGGATGTCCAGGTCTGCAGCAAGATGGGTGCTCTGTGGCATGTGTGTTTGCAAGTGGGAAAATGTGGATTCACGTTTATTTTTTTATTAGTAGTGTGTGTGTGAGTGTGCACATGTGTGTGTGTGTATGTGCGTGTGTGTGTGTGCATGCACGCACAGGCTTTCCTTCTCCTTCATAAGCCTCATTTCTCTGACTGCAGATCCCTTCCCTCCTGCAGTCCTGATGGCTCGTAGCCTCCATACAGATCAGCGCTTGGCCAGGCTGCTCGCCGTTCTCTTGGGCTTCCTCGGCAGCAGTTTTTCGAGATGGGCCCAAGCAGCAGAGCTCCGATCCAGACCGCACTATACAGCAAGGGGTGAATGCCGGGGTTTGGGGGCAGGCGGTATAATTAGGACCCACCAAAGTGTCAAAGGGGTGGTTAGATACAGCAGTGTGCTTAGATCAGTATATAATGGGTGCATGCAGTCCCTTTTGCAAAGGAGCTTCAGAGAACTGCATACTTACAACCCAGGTAAAGCCAGTCAACCTGGGCAGGCACCCTTTTCCATTCAGGGGCTGGGATGGATTCAACTTGCCCCGTAAAGTAAGGCGATGTCATAAGGGCAACCAGAACCGGGCTCTGCCCTCCAGGTCATCCCAGGCGGTGTATGCAGGGCGCACGCGCACCCCACCCAGCCACGGGAAACACCAGGAAAAAGCAAAGCCCAAGAAAAATCTTCTTGGAGCACTGTTGTTATTATTCTTATAAACAAGGAAAGTACTTTAAAATCAATATGGAATTTCACTCGTAGCCTCTAGAGAGATTTCATCTCCTGAATTACACGATCGGATAAACTGGCCCCCAGTCCACCTGCCATCTCTGGTATCAGCGGCTATCTCTTCAAAGCCAGGCTGAAAGACCTGCAGAATTAATTAGAATAATCAATCCTAAAAATGACACAAGTATTGATTAGCATGTTCGTCCCTTCCATGCTGAGCAGTGCTGGGAGTCTGGCAGGTTTATCAAGGTGATAAAAAGCAAATGGCTAGAGATGGAAGATGCTTATCCAATGACACAGTGTGACAGCCTGACATCCAGCAGCTTTTATATTCAGAGAGGGTCTTGTTCTAACACTTTTATATTATGTTATTTTCAGGAATCATCATAGCCTTCCTCTTGCTCTGATCTATTTTATGCATCAGCTGGTTTTTAATGCTTGTTGATGCCTTAGTTTTCAGAAAGATAAGTATATGGGTGGATGGGTGAATATTCAGTTCAAATGTGAAAGGAGAAGTCACTTGTGCACAAGTCCCTTGCAGCCCATCTGTTTGATCAAGACAGTTAGTTCCTGGTACCTCCCAGGACACCAGGATTCAAAATCTTCCCCCCTCCCCGGCAGCCCGCTCCAAACATCCTCACCGAGCATCCGAGCCATTTGCTTGGTGTGCAAGGACACCATTTGCCTGGGAAGGTCCCACTGATGGGCCTGAAATGTCCTTTTCACCACTGGCCTTTGCACACAAGCATGCAGATGCTTTGCGTGTGCAACAGGCACCGATGAAGCGGGGCTCACTGTCCACATAAGTACGTTCAAAACTGGCCAGCTACCCCCTCTTCAAATTTTGGCTCTGGCATAAGCTGAACTGCAAATCTACCTGGGATGGCTAAGCGGCCAAACCTTGTGTCCTGCAGTGACACCAATGGCAAGTCCAGCTGATGCAAAGTCGCAGGCCTGGACTCTGCACCTGGACAGGATGGGATTTATCTGAGTACAATGAGGGACTGTACATTGGAGCATGAGATCGCCTTGCCTCCAGTTAGGAAATGGCCTAACACGCAGGAGGTCTGTAGCATCCAGAACAAATGATCACAGAGAACCGGGGTCCGGTAAGAAATTAATACACCTATTCTGTCTTAATTGCAGTGGCCAATGTGCAACTGGGGGGGTAACGAGGCGGAGGAAGGAAATAGAGGAGCAGAATTGTTTAAGGCCGACGTCAGGATTTGGTGATAGGATGCGAACAAGACTGCCAGGCTGCAAGATGAACCCAGCCCACCCCAGGCAGCCGTTCCCATCGCCAGCCAGGCTGCCACGAGCTCGAGCCACCTGGAGCCTGCTTGCCTCCTGAAGTCAGCCACAGCATCGCTCGCATCTGCTGAGAATCCCAGACAGAGCCCGCTTGCCGCGGCTCATGAAAAATTCAGAGCCCGTTGACTGTGGCCGAGGACGGCGCCTTCTCCACATCCGTCTCTTTCTCTCTCACTCGCTCTCCGTGTTTGCGAGCGTGTCTGAGATGTCTGCAGACATGGCCGCACGTGCCTGCCTAGACAGAACAAATCACGCTCGCTCCTTCCAAGGCCTCCGCGGGGGCCAGGAGTGCAGCTGCGGCGCAGCTCGGCGGTGACTGGCATGCAGGGAGTGCCCCGGGGGGCCCTAATACATTTTTCTGCACCTTCCTCATGGCCAGGGACTGCCCAGGGGCCCTGCAGCTAGCCGCCAGAGCCAGGGAGTCTGGCCTGCCATTGCTGTAGTCTTTGCTAGATGCAACACCACCCAGCCCTATAGACACAGGCAGGCAGGGCTTCACCTGGCTACCTGCAAACATTGGCTGGCTGCCCAGAGACCCCCAGGTCTAAGGTAGCAAGGCAATAAACTGGTTTGAGGATGGAGCTGTTCAGCCCCTTGCAGGGGACTCTGTGATGAGGAGCAGCGAGGGACCTGGGGAGCAGCCCCAGGGCCTTGGAGCGGGTACACCCCTACCCCAGGCAGATGGCTGCAGCGGGGGCATAGCTGGGAGGAGAGGTAGGTGGAAGGTGGATCAGGGCTGGGTTTGGGGTTCCTGGGGATTTATTCCCATGGGATTTCTGTTTGGCAGCCATCAGACCCGGCCTGATGTCTGCAAAGCTGCCCTGCCGTGCTACTCACTGACCCCTCGGAGAGCTCTGCTTTGGGGTTTGTTGTGGTTAATGAAGCTAGTCCTGTACAAAATAAGTCAGAACATGGTCGGCACCACCGTGCCAGCGCAGCACCGTCAGCTGGGGAGGGGAGGGGGCAAGAAGGGAGGAAGATATGGGACCAGGGGAGCAAGGGGGTCTTGGAGGAGGCAGGGGTGGGTTTGTGGCGGCATGGGGGGCTCGGTGAGGGAGTGCTGGAGCTAGGCCGGTGGGCACAGGCTCAGCACGGCCCTCTGCTCCCGGAGGGGAGCAAGGACCCAGTGGAGGACGTCACGGGCCAGCTGGCGTAGGTGGCAGCGAGGGGATGGGCCCTTTTTCTGCTCTGCTGAAGGCAGCTGATGACCCAGGAGCAGTGTCACGTGCATGTGTGTAGCAAAATGCTCCTCCCGCCGGGACCACAAAGCCCACAGGGGTTTCATCCGGCCTCACAGCACCCCGCGAAGTTCGGGAGGGTGGCTACCCCCGGGCGGGTCATGCAGGCACGCAGAGAAGGAGCGACCTGCCCCAGGGCAGGCGACGAGCCCGCGGCCGCGGCAGGGCTGACTCTACTCGGCGCTGGCTTGTGCTGGGCTGTCGGCGCGGTGCTTCTCCAGATACAGGATCCCTGCGGACTCCCCATGAGGACAGGCCGGTCGAGGGCTCGGGTCCCCGGACAAAGCAGCGCTGGCTGTGGGCAAGTCTTCGGCTGAGTGCTGCGAATCGGTGTCTTCAGAGGAAAAGCTGCTGTGTCTGGACACCTGGAAGTACTGGGCTGCTTCTGGCCTCTTACCCGCGCACCGGCGGGGGGCTGAGCTGGGCCCGTCACGCACGGGGTGGCTTGCGCTGCCCTCCAGACGCTGCCCGGTGTCTGAGCAACAGGTCAGTGGAGGCTCCTGTGTGGGTGCGTCCCGAGGCAGAGCCCCTGCCCCAGTCAGGGCAGCTCCCAGGACCCCCTCGGGGCTGCAGCACCAGGGCTGCTGGACGTGGCTCAGCCCGGTGCAGGGGTCCGGGGCCGCGTCGTCCGCATCCCCGCTCTCTGACTCGCTCCTCTCGCTGCCTCCCGCGGCTGCACCTTGCTGCTCACGTGCGGGGGGTGCCAGGTCAGGGTCGGATGGGGCTTGGCAGGCGTGAAGCTCGCCCCCTGCGGCACCCGGGCCCGATCCTGCAAGAGCTGAGCCACGCGTGCCCCCTGTCCCGCTACGAGCTCCTCCAGTGCCTTGCGCCTCCTCGGCCTTGCCCAGCATCTCAGCCAGGACCTGCCGGGTCTCGCGGTACCTCCCCCAGGCCTCGTGCCAGAGCCCCAGCCCCCAGCAGTGGCGCAGGGCACAGGCCTGTGCCTTCATCGCCTGGAGCCGCGATGCCGAGAACTCAGCCGACAGCTTCTGCAGTGAGCCCGCGAGGCGCCGCACGGCCTTCGGGCTGCCCGCCTGGCTCTGCCCCAGCTGCGCCCGGGCCACCAAGTGCTTGCAGTCCAGGCTCAGCCACATGACCTAGAAAACAGGGCAAGGGGGGAATTTATTGTGTGCTTCCTCTTGCTCTGCGATCTCCTGCTGCCCTCCCAGCCATCGCCGACGCAGCACCGTCTCCTGCAGCGTCGGCCAGCTGGAACGGCCAGAAACGCGAGCTCTCCCAAGTCATGCTCTCTCATTCCCTCTCTGCTTGTGTAAGTCGTTAGCTGCTCTTTCTCTTTCGCGGCTGTCTTCAGTTTGAGGCATCCAGAAATCCCGCTCGTGCAAACAGTCGTGCCGTTGCAGCGCAAGAAAGGGCAAAAAACGTGGCGCGTACAAACGCCGACGGACAGCGTTTCATCTCCCATGATGACGAGGGGGGTCGCGATCCGTGTTGGCTTTCTCATGCTGCCTCCTTGGCTGAACGCAGCACGCCCTGCTCAGGGATGCCCCTGCCCTAATGGAAAGCAGCTCCTCGTTCTCCCACCCAGCCCCATCGCCCCGTTCGTGGTCGCGTGGCCGTGGTCTGAGCATATTCACCTTGTCGTAGAAGCGGTAGAGGTTCAGCAGAGTTTCCAGCTCCGCTTGCTGCCTCTCCACATCGGCGTAGAAACTCATCAGCCTCGCCTGGAAGGCCCCTCTGGCTGCCTCCAAGGCTTCTGCCTCCGGGCCTGCGAAGCCGGCCGCTTCCTTGCACAGCACCAGGCCTTGGTTGTAACAGGCCTAAAGGAAGATAAAAGGGAAATAAATCTCTGCTCCTAAACTGGCTCTGACTCATTTTGCCCTGGGGACCTGTTTGCTGAGGGCCAGATGTTCTGCAGCTGTGAAATCCCAGAGGATGCTTTCTGTTTGGGAACAAAATCCGTTGTGGACAGCAGCGCAGAGACGGAAGGGGTGAGGAACTTTCCCCCGTGGGCACTTCTTGCTCCTCACCCTGCCCTGGTCCCGACTCTGCTCCTGGCGCAGTCACAGCACAGCGCTCAGGGGCTGCTTGTGTGGGGCTGTCTGTGTAGGCTCAAGTCTCAGCAGCTGCAGAAAGGCCCTTTCTTCAGCGCACCTGCCTAGGGACAGCCACGTGCTTGCAAACGGCTGGCAGCCGGAGAGGAGACCAGGAGGGTAGGCCACCCGGATTTCAGCCCCCACATACATATCCCAGAGATGCAGGAATGGTCTCATCGGGGCCAGGGCTGGGCTAACCCGGGAAAGCTCCTTGCAAAAGGCAGGTGAGAACCTGGAACGAGCCCCTTCTTGCTCAGAAATGGTTCCCCAAGCAACCTCCAGCGGCGTTTTGGGGAGGTTTTCAGTGAAACCAGGCTGCGTACTGCCAAAGCACAGTGAAAGCTAAGATGCTGTAGCTCTGCAGGGCCTGGGGGTCATTCTGGATATCTGCCCAGCCCCGCGTTGCAGAGACAGGAGAGACACATCCAGGATACCCTGCAAGGACCTACTGTCGCCTGGATGAAGAACTCCTTGAACCGCCGGTAGGATTTCTCTGGGCTGTCCGCACCCCACTCCGCCATGCTCAGCTCGCGCAGCCGCGACTCGCCTTCTTCATCCATCCAGCTGCTGAGCTGCCGGGAGCAGCGAAGGACCCAAGTGAGCCACGAGGTCCACGTGGGAGCTCGGTTATTCACCCCTGCCTGAGCTGGGCCTGCCCCTCTGGACGGTGACACAGGATTTGCCTAGCGAATAGCTCAGCCATTCGAATGCAGGCTGCAAGACAACCCTTCTCTCCTCCGCACGGCACCCCCAGGTGTCAGGGGGGACGTCCATGCTGCCCCGGTGCTGAGCCAGAGCAGACTTCAGTCCGAGGTGTAGTGACAAGGGCCCGAGGACCCCCCACAGCCCCCGCAACGCCAGCCCTCACCTTGCCGAACTCGGCTTCCAGCTCCCTGATCTTCTGGACGTGCTCCAGGCGCTCCAGGCAGCGGTTGGACTTGGCCACCAAGGTGTGGACTTCCTCCTCCACCCGGTTGTAGAGACCCAGGGCTGCATCCATGTGGCTCCTGCAGACCAAGGGAGCCCTGGATGGTCAGGCCTTGCACCCTGCTACGGCCACGGCCTGGTCTGAGCCAGGAGCAATGCATGTGCCTGCAAAGCCCCCGCTCTTGCCCCTCGCAGGGAGCCAGAAGTGCCAAGGGGCAGCTGGGAGCCGACCACGCCAACCCTGACTTCGGGCAGCGGCACCAAGGGACACAGGATTTGCACCCGTGCCAGCCTGCCCTTGTATCATCTCCTCCTGTGCGGGGTCACCTCCTGTCCGCTGGCCGAGTCCTGGGTGCAGCAGCGGGGCCAGGCTACCGCACCCCCGGGAGCCTGCACCGGCCGTGCGGGTTGGAGCTGCGTGCGGGGCACCGCGGGAGGGTGGCACCGGCCAGAAGGGCTGCCTGTCCCCTCGTGCTGTCAGAGCAGGCAGGCAAACAGGCTGGATGCAAGCGCCGGAGTGGGACCAGTTTCACATCCCTGGGGCCTGGTGCCATCTAGCGGCCCTTCGGACAGCAAACCGGGGTATGATGGGGCCCAGGTTGCCCCAGGGCCTGGGCTGCCGCTCTTCCCAGGGGGCTTGAGAGAGCCCCCCGGGGCCGGGCAGCAGGAGCCGTCCTGGCCACCACGGGCCCGCGACGGCGAGGGGAGCTAGCAGGGTGGTGGGATCCCCCGGGTGGGAACAGACCAGGTGAAGCAGCTGCCGAGCCCAGCCCAGCCCCAAGGGTGCGGAGACGGACGGGGACGTCCTGTCTGCAGTACCTGACGTCGGGAGAGGAGCTGTGCCGCGTCGCCTCCTTCCTCAGCCTGGCCAGCGTGGCCCCCCCGTCCCTCTGCAAAGTGACCAGCTGGGGGTCGCACAGCACCGTCCTCATCAGCTCCCGGTACCGCTCCGTGCACTCGGTCGCTTCCTGCAGGAGGATCAGACACCCGGGCAGGACTGCCCTGCTCGTCCACGGTCCACCCCGTCCACACCCGTTCGGAGCCTCTGTCCTTGCCATGGCATGTGCTGGGCTACGTGGCCCCATTGGGGTGGCAGGGGGCTGTCCCTACCAGGCTCCTTCATCGGGGTGGCCAGGATCTTTGGGAACTTATCTGACCCTGCCCAAAGGTTTTGACCAGAGTGCACCTCCGGTGCAGCTGCCTCTGGGGTGGAGCATGGCAGGGTTTGGGGCCAAGAAAAGTGCTGCACCATGCAGCGCGGTGGGTACCTGCAGGCCGTCTGGCAAGGCGCCCCTCTCCAGCTCCCCGATGGCACGCCGCAGCAGCTCCGACACCGCCGTGAGATCTGCGACGAAGGGGTGCAGCTTCTGCAGGGGAAAGCGCCCGCGGTCAGTGTGTTGGAGGCCGGGCAGGGCCAGCAGAGGGGCAGAAAAATGGGCCCAAGGGCAAGGAGCAGGGAAGGGATCGGGCAGACCCTAGGGCTGTCGAACCAGGCGGCACAGGGTACGAGGTGGATGGCTGCAGCAGGTGGGAAGCCAGGCAGTTAATGAGCAGAGAGGGGGCTGCACACCTCTGGGGGGGCTGGGGTCAGTAGCTGTGTGCTCCCCTTATTCTTCACCTTCTGCTGAGCTCTTGGCCTCACATGGGAGCCGTGGCTTGTCCCAGGACCCCCCCATGCACGTGTGCCGTGTTGTTATGACACTGCAGCATCACCCGCCGGGTGGCCATGAGGCAGGCCCCCATGCCCTTGCTGCAGGGCACCGGCTTCCCCCCATGCAGCTTGCCAGCGCTGCCAAGAGCAGGGACTGTGCCCCGGCCCTTTCCGCGGGAGCGGTGCCGGTAGGAAGCAGGCGGGTGGCGGAGGAAAGAGGGGAGAGCTAAAGGCCATGATTGTAGACACCTGGAAGAATTGCACCCACTCGCTGTGGCAGTAAGGGAAGGTGCCGTCCAGGTCCCGGGTCAGCTGGCCGGGGTCCACGTAGCGGCTCAGGGCTTTCAGCGATGCCAGCGCCTCCACCTGCGGGCGACAGCGCGGGTGAGCTGAACGGGGAGAGCTGGAGCGCGCGGTGGGGGCAGCACTGCCAGGCCGGACACTCCCCTCGCCTTCTCCCCCCAGCTCGGGCTTGTCCTAACCCCGTCTGTGCGCAGGGCCGCCGTGGTGCAGGGCTGCTCTGGGCCCGGGAGACGACAGACATGCTAATAATCTGCTAGGGCAGCCGGCGGGGTAATGGAGCTCATTAATATTTCACATTAGATTAATTAAACGGAGCCACATTAGCAGAACAATAAACCCTTTCCAGTTCTGAGTTATTATCCCACTGCCTGTGTCCGGCGGGTGGAGGTAATTGCTAGAGCGCTCGTGCCCCGGGCAGCTGCGGCCATTAGCGCTGTCTGGCCGCGCTGCCTGGGAGAGGCGGGGGCAGGCGGCCCTTTGTGATGGGGAGAAGGGGTCTCTGATCCCAGCCTGCCCCGGGGGGGTTTCAAGCTGCCGGGGGGTCTGGGTGCACCGGCAGGACGGGCGGAGGGGCCGCCGGGCACTGGGGTGCGGGAGCATGGGGGAGAGACGTGGGCCACGCTGGTCCTGCCCTCACCTGTGTGCCAGGTACCTTCTCCAGGTGTGCAGCTGCCTCCTTCTCCGCCAGCAGCAGCAGGCTGTGGATGGCGCCGGGGGACGAGCGCTGCCGGGAGAGCAGAGGGGAAGTCAGTGCGTGGATGCACCGAGCCCTTCTCGGCCAGCCCAACCGCTCGGGCCCTGCGCAGCGAAGGCGAGTGAAGCAGAGGACAAGCTCCCAGCCAGGACGGACTGCGAATCGCTTCTCCCTCATGCACTTGTATACGCCAGGCCCCAGTTTGCACACCCCCATCCCACGGGCAGTTTCCTGCCGGGCCTGGCTCCTGGCTGGTCCCTGCCTGGGGTGGGGGCATCAGCTCAAGGGCTCGGCCGTCTGTCTGCTAAGACGCCGGGGAGTCTTTGTACTTCTGGGACTCCACACAGCCGCGTCCCTCCGTGGCCTGGCCTGCCGACGATGGTAGCTGCAGCTGCGGGGTAGGGTGTGCAAGCACCGGTGCACGAGCCGTGCAAGCACCAGCGTGCACCCATCTCCCACAGAGCACAGGACCAGGTGCCAGGAGGCATTTGGCGGCGGGGAGCGGAAAGGTCTCCAGGGTAGCAGCAGGGGGAGGCTTGATGTTTCCTAGATCAATGCATCGTGCTGCAACAGCGGGCAGCTGGGACCAAGCTGAATAAATCATCACGGTGACGCCTGTAGGCAAAGCCAGGGAGGAGATCAAAGACGTGGCCGCTGGGCAGAGCAGGCGAAGGGCCTGTCGAGCAGAGGTGGACGCCCAGAGAGCCATGCAGGTGCCGGCAGCGTTGGGGTGCGGGGTGGCGATTAGGAAGATCTCTTGCTCCGAGGGCGGCTGGAGCAGAAGCTGCAGGGAGGCTGGGGCGTCTCCGTCCCTGGAAGTCTGCAAGTGCCTTGTCTGGGGTGCTGCAGACAGGCCTGGCCCTGCCCTGAGCAGGGGTGGGTGTAAGAGGAGCCCTCCGCAGAGCCTTGCCGGCCCCACTTTGCTCCTATAACGCGACACTCTCCAGGCAGAGCTCGAGAGGGGCCTCGCAGGACAACAGTGATGGGCAGCACGTGCCGTTTCTCCATCTGCGCAAACCCCACGATGGCCAGAGCAGCTGAGAAGAGGCCTCTTGGCTACAGAAACCTCCCTGCTACGATGCCCCCCTGCCTACCTGGACTGACGTGAATGCTGCGTTCAGGGCAGGGGCGGGAGGCTGCCGTCTAGCGTCCACCACGACGGTCAGTCCCAAGCCTCTTGCCTTCCTCCTAGGGGTGGAGCAAAACAGGGTGATGCCACACGCCAGGAAGCCCCCTGCATTAGTTAACGACGGCAGGCGATGGGCAGTCCTGACCCCTCGGCTACTGCCCTTCCCCGGGGACCCCGACCTGCTCATTGGAGGATTCGGCACCAAGGACCGGAGGCAGATTGGAGAGGGGCAGTTTTTTTTCCCAGGGTAATTGTGCAGTTCTGGGACACCCAAAGCAGGGTGAGATTGAACAGTGTCTTGCAGGCCCATGCTCTGCCTGCTGATTGCACGTATTTCTCGCACAAACCCTGTCTGTGCAACAAGGGGATCCCTTGTTCGTACTCCGATAGGTGACAGTGGTGAACATGCAGCCGGCCCAGCCGTGCGAGCGGGGAAGCCAAGGCGTTGACCCGTTTGCACGAGAGTCGCCCCCGGGCAAGGAACCCGTGTCCCCCCTTACCTGGGGATGGAGCAGAGGTAGAGGAGGAGCCGGGCGACCTCTCTAGCCGAGCACCAAGAGGCTTCCCACGCTCTGCTGCTCGTGCTCACCTGGATCAGGGCCCGGCCAAGCTTGTCCGTGCTCCCTGCAGCCGGGGGAGAGCAAACCGTGGGTCTCTGCCCTGCAACACCACTGAGCCCAGTCTCAAACCACCAGAGCCAGGTCCCCGCGCGTGAGACCGGCCGACAGCTCCTGAGGTTGTGGCAGGGTCAGTGCCGGGCTCCCTTCCTTTGCCATTTGCTCTTTATCTCTACTTCTCAGAGTCACGCCTGCGCCCTCTTCTCTCTGCAGCCAGGAGAGCTGAAGACCGACTGGGTTTTTTTGTTTTTAAAATAAAAACAGCAGACGCCCTGCCTTGTTCGCGTGACTCCAGAAGCTGGGGTTTGGAGGGAGGCGTCGTGCACAGCGGTGCATGCTGCTGATGCTGCGTTCCCTGGTTAACTGGAGACTGCAAACTACGCCAGCACCCTCTGCGCGTGCTCCCTCCGATGCACGGCTCCCACACTTCCCTTGCCCGGCCTCGAGCGACGGCCCGGGCATCACGCAGCAGCTCCGCTCCATTTTCCCCGGGGACCACGCTGGAGCCCCGCATCGGATGCTGAGGCTCCAGCCAGAGCTCGCTCTCAGGGCCGTGCTGTTTGCAGGTCACGGCCCAGAAAGGAGAAGCTGTGACATGGAGCTGGGAGCTATGACCCCTACATTTTCAGTTTTCAGGAACCCAAACCTGAACAACCTTTTAAAAAAAAATAACATCAATTCATGTTTTTGTCTCCCTGTTTTAGGGTTGTTGGTTGTAGCCATGTTGGCCCAAGGACATAGGTTCTTTGGGTAGATGCAATGTCTTTTACGAGACCAACAAAATTGTTGGAAACATAGTTGGAGAAAGTGTTTGTGCCTGAAAGCTCGCAAAGAATAATTTTTCCAACTATTTAGTTGATCTCATAAAAGATACCGCATCGACCTGACGAACCTTGTCTGCCTTGGTTCCTTCGGTTCCTGAAAGCAGAAACATTCCCACTGGCCAGGTCAGGCGAAAAGCTCGTTGCAGTGAAGATGCTTTCCCAGCCAGCAGGTTTTGGGGTGTGTTTTTGGGTTTTCTCCATTTTGAAGTTTTAGGTTTTGCAGCCGAGTCTCAGCCAGCGCCGAGCAATTCCTTCAAACCCTCCCGCTCCGGCCACGAAGCCGCCTCGTTGCAAGGACGTTTCAGGTGAAAGCCCCTGAGCGGGTACCTGGCAGGCACGCTACCCCTGAGAGCAGGAGCTGGGTGCTGAGGTCCTGCCAGCGGGGCAGCTGCGGGGCACTGCCTTCTGCGGGCAGAGGGTCTGGGGCCGCGGCGGGAGCACAGGGCCCATTCCTGCAGCCGGTGCCGGGGGGCGAGCCGAGGTGGAGGACAGCAGCATCCGCCTGGTCAGCACCTGCCGGGCAAACACACCGAGGGTGAGGCGCAAGCGGGGAGGGGGCCGAGGGCTGTGGAGGACAGACATGATGCGCTGCGGTGGCATTTTACACCCGTGTGCAGGTGCAGAGCCGGGGGTGCCCTTGGACTCCTGCCCCAACCCCGCATTTGAACCCCCGCGTGGCAGCCACAGCAGCGTTTCTAGCCAGGAGTCACTTGACTTCATGGCTGTGTCCTGTACCGGACCCCTGCTCAACTCTTCATCCCACCAGGGTTCACAACCCGCTTCGCGTCTAAACGGTCTCGACATCCCACTGGCCAAGCCCCGGCTCTGCTCCTGGCCAGGTCGCTCCTGCTTCACAGTCCTGCAGACTCCTTCAATGAAGCTGTCTTGGTTTTTGCTTCAATCTTACACTGCCCCAGGCCCCTAGCATGTTAGCACAGCTAGTAGCATCTTTTTAACCGGAGAAAAATGCACAATGTTTTACATGGGACGATGCAGCTTACCCCCTTTTCACGGTCCTAGATCCACCCGTGCCCGCGCGTGTGCACGGCCCAGCGGGCTGTTACCTTTCCCCGCCGGCTTGGCTCTGCTCATCCTGGGAGAGTAAAGAACCGACATCTTCCTCCGAGACCCCTCGGGCCGGCTGGCAGAGGTCTCGGCAGGGGCAGCCGGCTGCCGCGGGCCCTTCGAGAAGGGGAATTTGTGGCTGGCGGTGGGAGACTCGGACCGAGAAGGGTTTCTCCCTGCACCCGCCGGAGACCTGAGCAGCTTGAGGTATCCCTGCTTGGTCGCCTCCTCGGCTTTCGCTGCCTGGCTGGCCGCCCGGGGAGGAAAGCCGGAGGGGGGGGACCGGTGCCCGTCTGGGGGCTCCACGGCGGCGCTGGCGGGAGGGAGGTCACGGCTGGGCCCATCGGACTCCTCCTGGATGGCAGCCATCGGCCCGGCGCCGCAGCCGATGGGGTTCTGGATAGCGGCCACGTAGGACTCGCGGTACCGGCACCTCGGCCCAGGGCCCTGGGGGTCTCTGCTTAGCTTCCTCCTCAGACACGGCGTGCAGGGACCCTCTCCTGCGCTCGGCCCTTGCCCGCAGGCCCACTTCTCCGCGGCCGGCTCCCCGTTCGCGCGCAGAAGCCCCGGCTCGCTCTCGGACAACGGCTCTGCTTCTCCCAGAGGCGCCGGCCGCTCCGACCGGGGGGGCAGACCGGAGCCCCTGTCCGCAGAGAGCTCCAGCAGGTCCACGTACTCGCCCTCCAGGTCCCCGCTGAGGATGTCGCACAGGCTCGGCGCGACAAACCCCCGGGCGCCGGGCTCCCAGGGGCCTGCCTGCTCCACCTTGATGAGCCCCGGGTACTTGCTCGGGCCGCGCCTCCGGGGCACGTCTTCACGCTCCCGCACCGTGCCTGCCGCGTGCCCACCGGAGCCTGGCACCGGAGCCTCTGCTGCACCAGGGCACTCCAAGCCGTCCCGGTCCCGCGTGGTGGTCAGCGGGGCGGCTGCAGCCTGGGCCGGGTTTGGAGTGACCTTGGGCTTCTCGACGAACTCCGGCGTGGCGATCTTGCTCCAAAGCATGGGCATGACCCCGTTTTCTGCGGCGACCAGGCAGGTGCGCAGCGGCGCCCGGTCCAGACCGCGGTTGACTTCCTCCAGCCACTCGTTGGTGAAGAGCAGCGAGCAGGACGATTGGGGGACGGGGATCTCCTCCACCGTGCGCAGGTCCCGGGAGAGGCACTTGAGGACGATGCCGGCCGCCTGGTCCTGGCAGGGCTCTGCCTGCAGGTAGAAGTCGCCCGGGCGCAGGAGGAGCGGGTTGAGGGGCGCGAGGTGAACGACAACCTTCTCGTGGAGGCACAGGGGCCAGCCCTCGTGCAGGAAGAGGCAGTTGCAATAAGGCGCCTACGAGAGGGGAAGACACGCTCGTTAGTGAATCCGGCCTGTCTCTGCAACGGTCACTGATCCCCCAGGCCTTTTGCCCTGTGCGTTTTTGCTACCTCCCCATGTGACAGAGAAGCGCGCTCATGCCCATCTCGCAATGGGGACTGAGGCACTAAGTGAGTTGCCCAAGGCGGCATACAGAGCTGTGGCGGAGAAGCACCTGAGTCCCAGGCCAGGCTTTGACCCAGCAGCTAGATGAGGTCCCAGCCCATCCCAGGAGCCCTGTCCGGGGTGGGGGAATGCCAGAGAGGGGCACGGACCCGCCTGCTGCAGGTGCTGGGAGTCCTGCCCCATTTGGGCCGACACCGGGTGAGCCCCTGGCCAGCTCAGCCTCGCTGACCGGAGGGTCCCGCCTGTGCATCGTAGCATGTCTCTAGGGCTCTGGCTGCAGGATGCATTGCTGTTGTGTGAAATCAGGGCTTGCCTCCCGGGCCGGAGAGCCAGGGCACGGGCAACGTGGACGCGATGACCCACGGACTTACGCAGGCCGCCTGCCGCACGTGCTCAAAGAGGCGCTTGGCGGGGATCAGGAAGTCCAGGAGGCAGCAGAGCCCGTCCCCGTGGTAGTCGGCCTCCAGCAGGCGGAAGACCTGGCTGAGGACCGTGGGGGCCGTGGCGTCGAACGGAGGGTACAAGGCCTGGAGGGCCCTCTGCACCGCGGCATCCAGGGACCGCGGGTCCTGCGGGGGAAAGCATGGCCCGTTAGAAAGCACAACACACGGGTCCGTCGGTTTCCCCGTGGGAGCCCCCCGTCTCCCCATGCTTCGTGGCCATCGCTAGAGACCCCCTACTCGGGAGCAGCATGCAACCGCCCCGGGAGGAAATCCTCCCCAGAGCAGCGGTCCAGCCGAGCCGGCGGCGTTGCTCGGGGGCTCACGCGCTTTCAGTGTTGGGAAATACCTACCTGTGTGCATGTGGCACGGAGGGGCGGGTGGCCAAGCTCCCAGACATCCTCTGAACATGCAGCCCAGGGGGCTTTGGGCTTACGCTGCCTGCAGCCTCCGCGGAGGTTCGTGGAAATGTCATTGCACGACAGACCTGGGACTCAGAGAGCAGCTCTGGGGCCAAACCCCAAACCCCTCGAGGCTTCGGAGCACTCCTGCGGGGTGCACGGGCTCAGGTCCACACTCCCCTGGAGTTTGGAGAGGCTCAGATTTAAGCCTGTAGAAAACGGAGGGGCTGGATGGATAAGCAGATGAAGGACAAATGGGGGCGAAGGGGGGTCTCGTCCAGTCCCAGTCCCTGGAGAATCCAGTATGAATCCACTGCAGGGTTTAGGGTCTGCTGCACTGCGGCGCAAGCCCCCGCACCCAGAGCCGCGGCTGCAGCGCTCTTCCCAGCACTCTGCACGAGGTCCTTGCATGCTTCTCGCTTGCAGGGCTGCTGATGTAGCCGGGGCACAAAAGGGAGCAATCGGGTTGAGCCCAGATTCAATTTCAGCGGCATTAGGGAACGTCGAGGGGAAAATAAAACGACTGGAGAACTGGGCGCTGGTCGGAGGCTGTCGGCTTTTGGCCCCACGTTGAGGCAGCATGCAATCTGGCTCCCGGCTCCTGCGTGGGTCGAGCCAACAGCGAGTTGACGGGAAACACGAGCTGGTTTCTGAGCGTGGGCTTGCTGCAGATCTGGGAGCACCGCGCTTTCTCACACAGGTCCTGGAAAAATCTTGCTGGCTGCTCGCACCGTCTTAATTCAGCCGTTGGGGATGCAGAGCTGCATCTCCGGCTGTCCGGCCTCAGCCGCGTGCCCGGGGAGGAGGGTCATCGCCCCGGTGTAACTGTGCTGGACATGGATGGATTCCCAGCTCAGAGCAGGCCTTCACGCAGAGAGGCGGCTTGGTTAGCACGAGGGGTCCGAGACCTCATTTCTCGCAGCGGGTGAGTTGCACTGGCGGTGGCTTCGTGGTACTCGGGGGTGCATGGACTCTGCCTGGCAAGCGTGGGGCCGGGAGGTGCATCTCCATGAGGACATCCCAGAAAGTAAAGAGGAATTAGCCAAACATGCAAGTATGAAGGGCTGAACCCTGTGCAGATGCCCCAGCCTTGGACCCAGCCAGGGCTGGGGTCTTCAATGTGCTTTATGTCCTGTGCTTCGCAGTGAGTGCCACAAGCCTTCCTGGAGCGAGGCTCCAGGGCCCCATCTCCTGGCATCTGTGGCGTGGGAAGGTGCTTGGACGCTGCCTCCACGTGCCCTCACCCTGCGCTGGGCAGGAGAGAGGACCTGCTTCCTCCCAGCCCTCTGGCTCTGTGCAGCTTCGGACTGGAGATGCAGGACCACTGGTTTTCTCACCCCAGTTGCATTTGTTTTGCAGCGAACTGGACGACGGGCTGCAGCAGGGCTCTTGCAAGTGGGGTTCACCGCTGCCTCACGCCTCTTCCAGTGCCACTGGCTGACAGTGCGGCCTCAAGAGCAGCTACCGTCTCTCCCAAATCTCCGCGTCTTGCCCGGGTGAGGGAAGGACTCCAGTGCACGTCCCACTGCCGCGTCCTGCGATGGAGGCCGCAGCGCTGGGGCATCAAGGGAACCCGGCCAGCTCCTCCTGTGGCCATTAGCAAGAGTCTGACCCCAAGACCAGCCTCAAATCGCCTCTTTCCTTCCTGGTCGTGGCCTGGGCGAATGCTGCCAGGCTCAGGCCTTGCTCAGCACTGCTGGATTTGGGGACAGACGTGGGGGCTTGGAAAGTTAAGGTGCCAGATGTGCCCTCTCCAGATGTTGCAAGTGCGGGTTGGGGGTCACGTCTGACGGTGCCTCGCTGGCGGTCTGCCGGCCCCGGGTGACCCTCCCGCATCCTCCGACGAGCTCCAGGACTGGCTCTTTGTGCCGCCAAGCTGAGCTCCTCCCGGCTGAGCTCATCTGGAGCTGAGAAAAGGGGAAAGAAAGACCCTTCTGGTGACAGGGCCCCGGCTCGGCCCCCTCCCAGGACAGACACTGCCGCGTTGTTCCTGCCGGGGCCGAGGTGCTGCGGACCGCGGCTCCCATTCAGCCCTGATTGCACGACCCCGCGTGCTTCGCAGCCGGCTCTCGCAGGCTCGCCCCCCACCTCCGTGCTGATGAAAAGGAGACGTCCCTTGGAGGGGGCAGAGGCCGCGCCAGGGGCGGTTGTACGAGAACGCTCCTCTGCCGAGTGCCCACCATCCCTTGCACCGCGTCCCGGCAGCCTCCTTGCACCCCATCGTGCCTCCATCACAGCCCCTGGAGAAGGCTCTGGTGGCATCGGTGCCGGCAGGATCCGGCCTCCGCTGCCTCCCCGTCTCCAGCCCACAGTGGGAAAATGCTCCACACTGCCCAGTCCCCAAGGCATGCGCAGGGCACGGGCATCTGCACGAGGATTCGGGCCTGGCTGTGGCCGGGAGGAAGGTGGTGGGGCTGGGGAGGATGCCCGGCGATTTGGACCATTTGCTGGCTGCACAGTCGCGCTCCCCTGAGCATCTGTGCCCGAATTCACCACTGGCCCGCCGAAGCCGGGCAGACCCGAGCCATGCCGGTGGGGTCTGGCATGAAATGTTGGTGGATGTGCGCCTGTCCTTACCCAGCGGGTTTGGCCTCGCAGCCCTCGTCTTTGCTCCGTGAGGTTTCCCTGAGCTCAATTATCCCGGTTTGCAAGCAGCAGTTTGCTCTCCGGCCCGGTCAGCCGTGCAGCCTGCAGGCCCTACCCCGTGCCACGCAAGCCCGCAAACTTTGCCGTGACCAAGACGTGACAATTCAAACTCAGCCCTTTGCCTGCTGCTCAAGCGCCCCAGGGCCCCCGGTGCAAGGGGCTGCCGGGAAGCAGCATCCCAGGCAGCGCGCCCCGTGCCTCGGTTGCTCTCACCGACTGAGCCGTCGGAAACTTGTCACGGGAACAAGCCAGGGAGCAGGACGTGGCTCACGTGCACCGGGAGCAGGGAGGACGGCTTTGCCGTGGGGGCCAGGACAGCCCCCAGCACCCGGGGAAAGGAGCAACTGGGCTAAAGAAGAGAGATCCCCGAGACAAAGCCCCTGGGGAAGCTGGCTCGGCAGGAAATGGCCCAGCCGCACACACGCAGCGTAGCGTGCAAAGGCATCGTCCATCACCGAACAGCAGGCCCCTCTCAAACCTGTGTCAGGGGAAGAGAGGCAGCTGGACCAAGCCTCACATGTTGATCTGCGGTAAAAAGGGGTGTGGGGACAGGGAGAAAATGGGGCTTTTCAGAGACGTACGGAGCCAAAGGTACCCTGGCTGGGACCTCCCTCGGCTCCGCCGCACCAAGGAGGACGTGCTTTCGGCCCGGGGCGACTCAGGACGTGGTCCTGCGACATTTGCCACCGTCACCCTCTGCGGGCGGGGGTCTCGGTGATCCTGTAAACGCAGCATCACGTCAAGCCCGAGGGGAACCAGGCCCTACTGCTCTTCTCTGGCTCAAGCGAAAGGCAAAGAGGAAACAAAAGGCATTGAGAGCAGAAAGAGATGCAGGCGCTGAAAGAGGTTTCTTTGCTGGCCGCCCCAGGGCTGCTAAGGCTCTTTCTCCCCTAAGAGCCGCCACTTTAAAGGCCGGCGAACGAAGGTGGCTCGGGGCAGGAACCGGAGCCCCTGAGCCTTTCTGAGCTCGCCGGGAGGAACGCAACTCGGAGCCGCGGCCCCCTCTTTTCTAGGCACAAAAAAGAGACGGGAATAGGTCTGAAAGCTCCAACTGGCAGAGAATAACCGTCCCCTCTCCCCCTCCTGCAGCTCTTCCCTCAGTGGGAGCGTTGCCAGCGTGAGGGTTGCTGGATCCAAACTTTTCAGTATAGCCAGGCCGCGAGGGATGTCGAGAGCAGCATTCGGGAGAGTGGCCGGAGCGAGCCGGGGACGGCCAGGAGCCCGGGGACCCTTCCCCTGCGCGGGGCATGTTTTCCGGGTCTTGTTCCTGCGCCCGAAAGAAGACGGCGGGGGAGGATGGCGCGGCAGTCGCTCGCCGTCTCACACGCTTCGCTCCAAACAGCTGCTAGTGATCTCTGCTCGTCCTTTGCAGCGGTGCCAAAGCTGTGCTCAGCCTCCCGGGACGCGCTCGGCCTGGCAAGGGAGCGCTGCCCGCCACCCCGCCACCCCGCCAGGTGGGCTCTGCCACAGGGACTCCTGCACCTTCCCACCCAGCCAGGAGCGGCCTCACACCTGGCGCTGCTGCCAGCGCCCAGGGCCCGCCAGGCGTGCTCGGTGCTGTACAAAGGGTCGCGGGTGTGCTCCGCCACCGACAGCTCGGCGCGGGCTGGGGACAGGTGACAGGAGAGGAGCAGACGTGGGGAGGGGGCGAGGAGAGTGGCTGGAGAGACAAAAGCAGAAGGCATTACCATGGTGGCAGAGGGGCTGGGGGCAGCGGGCAACGACTCCGCCGCTCCTCGTCCTTCCCGGGTGCCAGCGCGTTTCCCTATTGCCTCCAGCTGCCCCCGGCCACGCGACCCTCCTCAGCGCGGTCCAGGTGTGCGCGGGAAGTCCCGATGGGGCCGGGGCAACCCCGACTTCACTGCCCCGGCGCCTGCATCCCAGCGTCGGGATTGCTCCCGTCCTCCGAGAGCGAGGGGAGGGCGAGGGGAGGGGAAAGGGGGGTGGAGGGAGGGGGATGTCTGCGAGAGACGCCTTAAACTCCGTCTCGCTCGCGGCCGCGCTCCTCTGACTGCAAAACACCCCCCGTGCAGCGCCGGGCCTGGGAACAGCGGCTCCCATTGTGCCCACGGACACAGGCCCCGCTTCGTGCCCAGCCGGCGGTGGCATTGGCTCGGCGCACGCTGCGGAGAGGGGAACGGGCCTCGCAAAGCCCGGGCCAGCCCTGGCGTCGTGCGCGGCATCCAGCGCGGTCCCCCCAGGGCTGAGCTTGGCCCGCGGCGCCTGCCAAGAGGAACACAGGACGCCCACACAGGCTTGTTTTTCTAACCATTTCTGCTTCCTCCCAAAGAGGTTTCTTTCTTTCTCCCTGAAAGGGGCCTGCCAGCCAGCACCGAGAGCCTCCTCTCCTGCCGCTGCGCCGCTTAATTGGCCGCTCATTTCCTTTTGTCATGTGGCAAAATCCACGTCCCAGCTGGGGCAGCCGTGGGGAGCGCGGGGGGAGGAAGGAGCCCGCGAAAGGGACGCTGCGGAGGGGGAGGCCGCGAGGCCCCTGCGGCGAGCCAGGTCTCCACCTCTGCAGAAGCCGATGGGGAAATGGCCCTGGGAAGAAACCGCTGGAGCAAATCCTGCGGTAGCGCGGCATCGGGGCACGCCGCAGGGCTGGGACGGCGTCGCGCGCGTGTAAGGAGCGGGCACATGCCTGCCCCGGACTAGCTGCCGTAGACGCCGTCAGCGCGCTAGGCCAGTCTGCACGGAGCAGGCCGCTACCCCGGGCGATGGGCGCGGGGAGCAGCACGCACAGGGCGCTTCTCCGAGGGGGAACGGTGGGACCGGGCCTGGCAGGAGGCTGCCCACCCGTGGGAGAGGCACACACCAGCTCCGGGACTCGCTGCTCCCGGGTGCCGATTGCCCGCCCTGCCCCAGAGCGGCGTGGGCCTGCTGGGAAGGGGCCGCGGCGGGTCGGCAGCATCAGAGCGCCGGGACCCTGGACGAGCCGGTGGGGAGGCAGCTGCAATAACAAGCCGGCGGCCAGGGATCGGGCCACAGCTGCACAAAGCGCTCGGCAAACAAGCGGAGCCGGGGGAGGTCCGGCGAGGGGGAGCGTGGCGCTGCTGCCACGTGGACTCTGGCGTGGGGACCGCTTCTCCCCCTGTCCGCGCGGGCTGGACGTCCATGTGGCGCTTCGGGAAGAGCTGGTTCCAGCTTCGGACCCGAAGCCGCTGAGAGGAGGCTGCTGCATCCTGGAGGAGACAAGGGGACATCCTCGTTGCAACGCGGCCTGGCCCCAGCCTCACCCCCGCAGCCCAGATCCTCCCCCCAGTTAACCAGTGCCTTCAGCCCAGGCTCCCGGGCTTCAAACCACTTCCCCTCCACCGGCTGTGCCCCAGGCTTAAATCACTCCCGTGCTGAGAGTCCTCCAGCACCTTCCCGCAATCCCCCCCACCCCTGCCCTGTGCCAAAAAGGACAGGTGAGTTCTCCCACAATGCACTGGGAGAGCATCCTGGAGATGCTCGTCGTTGCAGCTCAGAGAGGGAGTGGTGCAGCGCTCCTGAGGATGCAGGCGCGCCGCCGGCCAGGCTCGGTTAGCTGAGCTGCTAAGCTAACCCTGGTGCCGGTTTCCCGGGTCTCTGCAGCGAGGGCGCAGCTTGCACTGGCAATCCCAAGGCTGCTGGGCAACGGGACCCAAATGCTGACTTCTGCGCCGGATGCGTCCAGGGAGGAGGCAGCCTGAGCATGAAATGGTTCCCCGAGGATGCCCCTTCCAGCAGGTGAAACAGCGTCCCAGCTGGGCAATGCCCAGATGTCTGGGCACCGCGTGATGCCAGGCAGAGCTCCTGGGGACAGCCGTGCAGCCCCGACCGGGGCAGACGACACCCCCACTCCCGCCTCTCACCCCCCTCCTCTGCCTGGCTGGGCTCCAGCAGCTGTGCGGACGGCTGGACACAGCTTGTCTGTCTGGCTCTTCCCAGCACAGAGGCCCATTCAGAGGCCGGGCGGCCTGGGGTCTCTCCGGGGTCACTGCTCCTGCGCCCGGAGCCGGATTTCGGCAGAAGCATCGTCCCCGCGGCTCTGTGTCGTTATTGTCTCCCACGAGGCTCCCAGACGTGGTGTCACAGGGAGGGGAGCGCGTCTTTCTGGCGATGATGTCACCGCCTTGGAGGCTTGCTGGGTGTCACAGCGATGCCGCTAAGGGCTGCGGCCACGGGGGCACGAACCCCGACCCCTGTGCAGCCAGCAGCTGGGTCTGCAACTGCCAGCCGCCTCTTGTGCTGGGGACCCGGGGGCACCCCAGCTCTGCACCCCGTGGCCTAAGACTGCGTGCACAGCACGGGACCCCTGCGGGCTCCTGCAGAGGGTCCCCCTGAGCTCTGGTACAGCTGCCCCCCACGCCGTGACCTGTCACTAGGCATCAACTTGGAGGTGCTGGGGAGGGGGGCAAAGATCTGGCCTCCAAATTGCCCGTTCTGGGGTGGGTGAAGGGGTCTAGTGTGCTGGAAAGCCTGGTGCTAAATGGTCCCCTCTGGGTCCAGGCGCGGCCTGTCTAGGAGCACGCGCGAGGCATGCAGAGGTCAGTGCACCGGGGCCTGGGCAGGTGGCACGTTTGCAATGAGATCCAGGTGAGCAGATGCCAGCCCCCGGGGCTTGCCCTGGCAGGGGGAGCAGGTGAGAGCCTGTGTGCAGGGAGCCCGTGGCCACGGGGGAGGGCAGCAGGCAGAGGACAACGCTTGGCTCCAGCTGCTGCCCAAGTTACTGATAAGGTTACTTCCTGGCGCATTTCCCAAGCGCCCGGGGTGGGTCATAGATTATAGATGTTAGATGTTATGGTCGGAAGGGGCAGGAAAGCGTGCCGCGGTAAGATAACCCCAGCCAGGTGCTTGGGTCAGCAGAGCAGCTCCCGGTGCCAGATCAGCAGCTGGCGGAGCTGCCGCGACAGCTCTCCTTGCACTATTTCCGGCTGCAGCGGGGAAGCGACTGGCACCGGCTGCCCCCCGCCCCCCAAGCCTGGCCCTGACCTGCAGTGCCGCAGCCTGGGCCGACCGCACGGGGTGCCCCGAGCGGTGCCGCACGCTGCTGCAGGCAAGCAGATTAGTCAGGTGTGATCTACCTGCTACAAATCCACGCTGGCTTCCCTGCTGCATTGTTTTTCCCGCTGCACTCCCACAAATATGATCCTTCATAATCTTTTCAAAGACCTTTGCAAGGATGGAGGTGAGACAGACTGGCCTATAATTACCCGGATCCTCCTTCCTCCCCTTCTTGAAAATAGGGACCACAGTGGCCCTTTTCCAGTCCTCTGGGACCTGCCCCGAGCGCCACGAGCTCGAGCAGCCGTGCCCGCGGTTCTGCTACGACACTGGCCAACTCCTTCAGGGCCCGCGGATGCAGCTCGCCGGGGCCGGCCAACTCGAGCATGCCCCGTCCAGCCGCGTGACTCCGCACCAGGTCAGCGTCGACGGCTGGTGTCCCTCCAATGCCCATCTAAGAGCCCGTTAGGAGACTCATCTTGCCCCTGTTCAGGAACACCGAGGCCAAAAACTCATTGAAGGGCTCAGCCTTGTCCCCCCTGCCTGTCACTAATTGCTCCTCCGTGTTCAGTAGGGGTCCTATGCTGCCCCGCGCCTTCCTTTTACTCCCTACATACCTAAAAAAAGACTTTTTATCTTTAATTTGTGTTGCCAGCCTCAGCTCTGTAGTTGCTTTCGCGTTTCTCGCTGCCTCCCTGCAAGTAGGTGAACTGCCCCTTGGTAGCTTCCCCCTGCCTCCACCGCCTGTATGCCTCCTCTTTTGCCCTTAGGCTCCCCTGGATTTCCCTGTTTAGCCAAGGACATGTTTTGGCTCCTAAAAGCCCCTAACCATACGAGTGGCCCTTCTTTGGACCCTCTTGTGAGCCCAGCATTCATCCCTGCCTGTGGCCGGGGGTCAGGCGAGATGACCTGTTCAGGTCCCTCCTGACCCGAGCTACTATGAAACTATGAAAACTGGACGTGGTATCCAGCTGCGGTCTGACCAGTGCCGGACAGAGGGGAAGTATCACTCCCTGGTTTTGTATCATCCGCAAACCTGGACAGAGTACACGTCACTCCCTCGTCCAAGTCGCTGATGAAGCCATTGAAGAGGATCGGTCCAAGGACCGAGCCCTGCGGGACCCCGCTGCCCACGTCCTTCCAGGTCAATACTGACCCGTCCTCCACCACCACTCTCTGGGTACAACCCTCGAGCCAATTTGCCACCCCCCAGGCTGCGCAATCATCCAAGTCCCAGCCTCGTAACTTGTTCACCAGTGTGGGGTGGGATGCCGTATCGAAACCTTCCTGAAGTCTAAGTAAATGATATCCACCCCTGCTCCCGCGTCGAGGTGTTTTGTAACCTGGTCATAAAGAGACTCGATCAGTCGGGCACAATCTACCCACTACGAACCCGTGCTGCTTTCCTCTCAGCATAATTTTTCGTGCTGGGCTCTCACATATATGAGCCTTAATAATCTTTTCAAAGACTTTGCCAAGGATGGAGGTGAGACTGGCCTGTAGTTGCCTGGATCCTCCTTCCTCCCCTTCTTGAAAATAGGGACCACATTGCCCTTTTCCAGTCCTCTTGGACCTGGCCCGTGAGCCACAAGTGCTCAAATGTTCTTGCCCGTGGCTGTGCAATGACATCGGCCAGCGCTTGCAGCACCCTCGGATGGAGCTCGTCCGGCCTGCCGACTTCAACGCATCCAGTCCTCCCCAGTGACTCTGCAACATCTCAGGGTCAACGCTCGGTGGTCTGGCGCCCAGCTGTTGTCTCTCTACGAACCCATTGTGAGACTTGTCTTGCCCCACATTTAGGAAGACTGAGGCAAAGACCTCATGGAGGAGTTCAGCCTCATCCCCCCTGTCTGTCCCCAATTGCTTTTGCCCGTTCAGTAGTGGTCTTATACAGCCCTGGGCCTTCCTTTTATTCCCTATATATCTGAAAAACATCGCCATAACTCATGGCCCCCCAGAACATGATGATTTGGCGTGGCTGGGATGCTGTAGCTGGGGATGGTCCTGCTTTGAGCAGGGGGTCGGACTGGATGTGACCTTTCTAACCCTGACTTTCTATGTTTATCTGATGCCGTACAGGACTGTGCAGATGATTGCTCCTCTGCACACGTTGCGCAGTAGTCGTGCCCAGCCCGGCACCACCCTTCACCCTGTGCACGCACAGCTACCGGCTCTTGAGCAATTTCTTTGTTGCACAAATGTCTTCCCCCAGGGCAGGTGGACTCCGGCTGCTGGCTGGGATGCCAGGAAGGCGGCAGCGTGCGTTCACCTGGGCAGCCCTGGGGCCCGCGTGGCCTGGTGGGGACCCTGGCCCCGTCCAAGTCCCTGCAGCTATTCTGAAGCGCTGAGCTCTGCCCGGGGAGCAACGTCTGTGCGTTGCAGAAAGGAAACGGTTGCAGCCGCTGCTGCTTGAGCAACTTTCTGCTTCCTCCCCGCCCAGCCCACCTCAGTTTCCCTTTTTAAATGAGCTGGAAATGCCTGGGTTGTGCCATGAGGGCTGGAGGGCCGGGGACCCCTCAGACCGCTCGGCACAGCTCCGGAGCCGCGCGGCACCTCCTCGCGCCCGTCGGGATGGCGGTGCAGAGCCTGGCGCTGGCTGCCCTCCTGCTGGCGGTCTCCACCGCGCTAGCCAGGGCCACCAACCCCGGGCTCGTGGCTAGAATCACCGGTCCGGGCCTGGACTACGGTAGGTTCCCAGTCAACCTTGCTGTCTCTGTCTTTAATGCACCCAGGGGTCGAGCTGCAAAGTCACCTTCCCCCGGCTTCTTGCCCCCTCTGGCCGCCCCGCCCGGCTACCTCACCCACCATGCCCTCGTGCTATAATGTGACTAGGGTGGGCAAGCCGAGCCGCTGACCGGCCAAATCTTGTCAATTGACCAAGCTCTACTTGACCGGTCAAACAGCCAACCCCAAATGGGACAGGGAGGCTGCCCCTAGACGGCAAAGGGTCTCTGTCTGGGCTTCAGCCCATTTTACTGAGCGGGGCCCCCGCGCCCGAGGTTCGCTGCACCAGGACCCGAGGCCGTGGGGACCAGCCCTGGCGTCCAGGGACAGGGTTGCCACCAAGCAGCCCCGGCTCCATCGTGAGGGCCAGGCTGCGACGTGTCCTTTCCGTCCCCGCAGCCTGTCAGAAGGGCATCGCTGCCCTGGAGAAGAAACTGGCCAAGATGAAGCTGCCGGACATCTCGGGGTCCCAAGGGACACCCGTAGGAGACGTGTACTATGAATTGTCCCGGTGAGATGGCTGCTGGCTTCCCCTGGGGAGGCTGGAGGAGGTTTGGGAGGGAGGCAGAGCGGGGTGGGCATGGCGAGAGGAAGACGCCTGTCCTGAGAGCTGGACGCAGCCCTCCAGAGACAAGCGGGTGATGGCGGGAGGCAGCGTGGGCAGGGAGGGGTGACGCGCACAAGCAGGGCTCGGACAAGCGGTGGGTGCTGGCGGCGTGGGGACAAGGACGCTGGTCCATCCAGGCCCAGCCCCGGGCTCCGGCTGACAGCGCCGCGCTCCTTTGCAGCTTGAACCTCCTCAGCTTCCGGCTGCCGAGCTCCCAGATCATCCCCATCCCCAACGCGGGCGTCCAGGTGTCCGTCTCCGATGCCTTCGCCCAGCTGGCGGGGAACTGGAAGTGGAAGAAAGGGATCTTGTGAGTGCCCCGGTGCAAACCGCTTTGTCTCCTGGAGGCGTTCGGGCTCTGCAGCTCGGCTCCTCCTGGCCACGCGGGTTGCAGGGGACGCTTTTGCTGCAGTCCCTCCTGCCTCTATACAAGCGGCTGCGGGGGGCAGCGAGCAGCACAGCGCGCAGCCTGAAGCAATGGGGGACAGTGCACGCAGGGCCAGTCCCTCCACACCCCCCATTCAGGGCCCGGTGTTGAGGACTGTCAGGGTTATCTCCCAGTCCTTCCTTCCTCTGGTCACAAAGGAAGGGGGAGAAAAGGCGGCTTGATGTGACGACGCCTCCTGGATGCGCCCCCGCCGTAGGGACGCCAAGCGAGCTGGAGCAATCTGCACCAGGGAGGGAGGGAGCGCGCCGGCCGTCCCCATCGCGGGGTCTTAGGAGCGCACCTGACTCCCCTGTCCCCTCCTCCCATTAGTGGGGACGACGGCTCATTTAACCTGAAGGTCACTGGTCTCCGCATCTCTGCCGGGCTGAAGCTGGGGAGCGACGCCTCTGGGAAACCCACCGCGACCACCTCTGCCTGCACCACCTCCATTTCGGATGTCAGGGTGCACGCTGGGTAGGTAACTCCCCTTCCGTGGCCAGGTTCGGGGGCCGTGCGTTGGAGCCCGTCTCCCGGGGGCACAGATCAGCCGCTTGCTGCCTCCTCCTCTTGGACCGGATCCTGCTGGCCCACCCCGTGCTGCTTCCCTTGGAAAGGCCGGAGGGGGGACCTGGATCCAGCAGCCCTGTCCTGTGCCCTTATATTGGCCCTAAGGCATTATCGCTGCTATCCCCTGATGTCGGCGGGGAGATGGGCTGGTCGGGGCGGAGCTGGCTGCACATTCCTGCGCTGTGTTCGAATTTGGCCTGCGGCGTGGCCTGTTCGACGGGGGTGCTTTCAGTCCGGGGGCACTGCTTTGACCAGGCCGGGTCTTTGCCAACGCAACATTTAAGAGGAAATGGGGCAGCCGAGCTTTGACCGCAGGCCGATATGGAGAAGCATGCTTTTGTCGGCGGGAAGACACCGTCCTGCGGCTGGAGAAAGGTGACTCTCTCCTGCTCTCTCCTTAGCTGGATTTACAAGCTGGTCTTCAACATAATCAAGTCGCGCATCAGGGCAGTGATGGAAAGCAAGGTATGGTGCGCTGGGGACGGGGGCCCTTGCCCTTACCCGTCACGAACGTGCTCGGCGTCCTGCGGCCTGATTGCAGTCGCCGTACGGCTGCTCGTGGCAGCCGTGACCAGCGGGTGGGACGCCGGATGAACGAGCGTGCACTAACTGCGGTCACCTCGGCCTTGTGGCGGGTCACATCGACGGCTAAGCCTGCCGTGTTTGCGAGCGCCGGCCGTAACCGATTCCCAGTTAACAAAGACTTCTCCTCCCATGCAATCGGCTAATTAGACCTCGCACCTGAGCCAAAAGCATAGCCACCCCAAAGACCAGCCAGCAGCCTGCCACTTGCATTGATTTCTGGGGCGGGGGCAGCTCTGGGTACAAACGCTCGCGTCTGGCTTCTCAGGCGCTTGCTGCCTTGTTTTAATGGGGCCCATCAGGGAAACCCTCGTACCTACGGCACCGTACAAAAGCCTACGTGCAGGAGACCTGCAACAGGACACGGAAACAAGCTGTTAGCAATAATTGCTACAAGGCGAACTGGCACGAGCTGCAGCCTCTCTGGATGCGAGGCCTGTGCAGGAAGGCGGCGGTCGGATGGGAAACGCGGGGCCGGCGGCATCGCGCTACCGCTGGTGCCATCTAGCAGCTTTCCCGGGGCCGCCGGGACCCCCGAGCAGACGTGCCGGCCCCGGAGCGGCGCTGGGGGGCTCAGGGCAGCGCTTGCCTCTCGCAGGGACGAGGAGAGCGTGTCTCAGTAACGTCTTTCCCAGGCCATCCGCGTCCCTTCCACCCCTTGCCGCAGTGTCCAGCCCGCGCCTGTCCGTCCCGGGAAGGGCATCGAGCCGCTTTTTCCCTCCTGGGATCTCCCTCTGCACCCAGGAGCAAGGAGGCCTTCCCCCTTCCCGTCGCGCTGGGCCACGCTCCGCTCCGCAGGGCTGGGTCGTCACCGTTATCCCCCTCCCCGGCACAATGCTGTCACAAGCCCCGCTCCCGATCTGCACGGACCTCGGGCAGCTTGCCGGACCGCCGGGTGACATGCCCAAGGAGAGCCGCTTGCTGCGAGCAATAGTTACTACAAAGCAAACCGGCGCGAGCTGCAGCCTGTCCGGATGCGAGGCGGGGGTCTCCACGTTGTTTCCCGCAGGTCTGCAGAGAGCTGAGGAGCTTCGTCAGCACGCGGCTGCAGCCCTACCTCCACACGCTGCCAGGTACCGAGCGGGTGCTCCCCCCGGCCAGGGCCCTGCTCCTGCCCTCCTTGCAGCACCCGGCGGGGCCGCGTCGTGGGGGGAGGAAGCCAGCCTGAGCTCCCTGCAGCATCTCGCGGATGTTGCGCGGGAGTTTTCCCAAGCATGAAGGGCTCGGGGGATGAGGGTCGGCTGGGACCTAGAGACCCCCCGGCCCACTGGGAACAGCGGCTGCAAAGCTGAGCCCCTGCCCCGTGCCGCTGGGACACGGCACTTCCACGTGGGCCACGTCGCTGGGAGCAGGTTGGTGTCCCGATTCCCTGCAGGGCCTGTTGTCTCCCCTGTTTCCCAGTCACAGCAGTGATAGACACGGTGGCCAGCATCGACTACTCCCTGGTGGCCCCCCCCGTGGTGATGGCCCAGTATCTGGACGTGAATCTGAAGGTACGAGGTGCCCAGGCAGGGTTTTGCCTCACATCAACCCTTTTGGGCTGCCTGTGGCTGCAGCCCCAGACCCGGAGGACGGAGGGGAAGATCCTGCGCAAACCCCGGGCCCGTGGCCAGCCCGCGAGTGCCAGCGCCTGGCAAGAGTCGCTCTTCGCTCTCGTCTTCCCTAGGGCGAGATCTTCTCCCGGGCTCACCACGCGCCGGCCCCCTTCTCTCCCCCCGCCCTGGCCTTCCCGACGGAGCGTGGCCGCATGGTTTACCTGGGGGTCTCCAGCTACTTCTTCAACACCGCCGGCTTCGTCTACCAGGCTGCCGGGGTCCTGGTCTTCAACATCACCAACGACATGGTGCGGGTGTGGGGAGGGCACGAGCCCCGTGGCTGTGCGGGAGGTGCCGTGGCTGCACCGTGTGCTGTTCCTACAGTGAACTGAAGCTTTCTCCTGCTGCAGCTTCCCAAAGAGGGCTTTTTCCACCTGAACACCTCCACCTTCTCCCACTTCATCCCTCAGGTAAGTGGGCTGCTGCCAGCACCCTTGAGCCTGGGAGTCTGCAGCCCACGCCGCTGCGGTGGGTGCAGGGGAGGGCACGGCCGCCTGGGCGAGGAGGGGATGCCTCGGGCTCCATCCCCATCACCGCCACCTGCTCGTGCAAGCCTGACCCACGCCCCTGCTCTGCCCCCAGCTGAAGCAGCGGTACCCCGACCAGCTCATGAAGCTGCAGCTCACGACCCCCTTGGCGCCGTTCCTGACCATCGCACCCGGGGGCCTGGAGCTGGCGCTGGTCGTGGACGTCCAAGCCTACGCCATGCTGCCCAGTGCCAGCCTCGCTCCGCTCTTCCTCCTCCGCCTGGTCAGTCCGGGCTTGGCTCCGGGAGGGGGATGGAGTCCAGCTCGGAGCCCTCCCCGTATCCCGACGTCTCCTTGGCCGCGGCACGGCTGCAAGCTGGGGGGTGCGCTGGGTGCCCTGACGGCACAAGCTGACACGGCTTCTCCTTCTGTCCCCAGTCAAGCAACATTTCTGCCAGCGTCACCATGAGCGATGCCCGGATACACGGGACCTTGTCATCTGGCAGGTGAGCGGCAGAGGGGGAGTCAAGCCCTGACCCTCCAGCTCCAGGCATCTCCTAGGTCAGAGGAAACCTGCAAAGACGTCCCCGGGCTGGTTGGGGATGCTCGTTGGCTCCGTGGCCACAGGGCTCGGAGATGCTCCACATGCAGCCGGCAGCAGAATTAGCTCCCGGGCCAGAAACTGCGATGACTGTTAGCCAACACGTGGAGGGGGGTGCTGACACGTGTCCGTCCCCACACAGGCTGGAGCTGTCGCTGAAGCACTCGGACATCGGCCCCTTCTCTGTGAGTTGCCCTCACGGCCCCCGATTGCACTGGCCCTGCCTGGAAGACCTGGTGGGCTGGGGTCATCCCCATGCACCCTGCAGCCAGGGGAGGGCAGGGAGCGGCGCAGCTGCCACCCTGCCAGGGCAGCTTGCAACTCCAGCCAGGCCCCCTCGGACCCGTTACCTGCTGGCTGCACCTGCTCTGCCCTTCAGCACCCGGCTGCGGCCTCCTCTGCCCCGGCCCCGAGCTCCAGAGCCACCCCGGCCCCGGCCCCGGCCCAAGCATCACGGAGGGGATGCTTTCCTCCACCCTGCACCCCAGGCTGCTTGACCTGCCTGCGGGCTCAGCTTTGCTGCTTGCACGATGGCCTCCCCGTGTACTCGGTTCAGTCTCGTCCCCCAGCGCACGGCCCCTGCAACCCCCTGCTCCCCGCTTTCCTCTGCTTCCTCCGGCTGATGGGCTTGTCCTCCCCTTCGTCTTCCCCAGGTGCTAGGGCTGCAGCAGGTCATGAACTTCTGTGTCTCCCACATCCTGCTGCCCTTGGTGAATGGTGAGCGTCTGGCGGGGGGTCCACGGCAGGCCTGGGAGCTGGGGTCAGTCAAGGCCCCTGCCCACAGTCAGCTCTGGAGCGTGGCTCAAAGCTACCGCAAGCCAAGGGGCCCCGGGCAGTGGGAAAGCAGTGCAGAAGCACAGCCGGAGCGCATGGGGCTGCAGGAGGAGGGTGGCTCGGCAGAGACGTCTCCGGGCCGCGACTCTGGGGTTGAAGCAAAGGCAATGGAAAGAATGAGCCGGGCACGTGGCTTAATGGCTTCCAGACCCCCGCTCCCCGCACGCGGAGCACCAGAGCCGCGGGGGGACGGCTCGCACGCGGGGGAGCAGGGCCAGGCAGCATGCACGAAGCCCCCCAGCCCTGTGCAGCGGCTGGGGGAGCTCCCCTGCCCCCAACCCCAAGGGTCTGAAGCCTGGGGCATCCGGTTCGTCTGCCCCCCACCCCGGGCTGTCACCTGCTGTGTTTTCCAGACAAGCTGAAGAAGGGCTTCTCCCTCCCGCTGCCCAAACACATCCAGCTCTCCAGCTGCAGCCTGCAGCCACACCAGGTCAGTGACACCGGCCACGGGGCTGGGGGGCTCAGGGGATCCTTCCCATCACCGCTGGAGGGAGAGAGTCCACTGGAGCGGACCCAGGGTTTGTAAAGCTTTTGGGGTCCGTCTCGGGGATGCTAAATACACCCAACCTGTTTGTTAGTGCGTCCAAGCCCTGGGGCTGGCCTGGAGCACGGCCCAGCCCGTCCCCAGGGGAGATGAGCTGCAGGACCCTCCTCCCCCAGAGGGAGAGGGATGCTCGGTCCAGCTGGCACGGCTCGCTGAGCACAGGCGAGGCTGGGAAACAAGAGCTGGTGTCGGCCCCGGCCCCTCTGATGTGCAGCCAACTCGCGTTCCCGGCGCTGAGCCGTGCACGTGCTGCGCGGCTGCTGGCTGCAGTGCACTGAGTGCCTGGGCCCGGGGGAAACCGCCCCTTCCCCGCGGCAGGCCGGGGGGGTTGTGCTTGGAAGCCCCCGCACCTGACGGCATTGTGGCCTCTCGCCTAGGACTTCCTGCTGCTGGGAGCAGACGTGCAATACAGGCGCTGAGGACGAAGACGGTCTCCCCCTGCATTGCACCTGGCCTTGCACCCAGGCCCTTCTACCTGGCCCCGATTCTCCCCCCATGGGTCTCTTCTCCCTGCCACGCACCTGTGCTGTGATGCCAGTGGGGTCTGATGCTCCCTTGCCCTGCCAGCCTGTGTTCCCAGAGCCCCGTATCTGGAAGCTGAAAGCCGCAGCAGCTCCCTGGCTGCCCTGGGCATCTTGGGCCCCGGGCACAGGGAACACACGTGCAAGTATTAAAAAGAAATTGCAAAAGGCAAAGCCGTGCCTGGATCTCCCTTTGTCCCGCAGACTTCGGGGCCCGGCAGAGCCAAGTGGAGAGCGGTGCGGTGGGACCGCCGCAGGCCAAGGGTGCGGAGAAGGGCTCCGTGTCCAGCTGTGCAAGAGACCAGGTGGGCACGGAGAGCAGGGCCTGGCTCTCCCAGAGCTGGGGTCCACCCTCCGGGCCCCTACCAGGCTGCAGCGGGCTGGACTTTCTCGTCCCTAAATGCTCTGCAAGGTGGAAAGATGCCCTGGACATCTGCACGTGGCCTGGCTCCCCACCCACTCCTGCTGCCAACTCACCCCTGGGGCAGTGATAGCAATGCCCCTCATGTCCCCTCAGTGGATGGTAGCAGCTAAAGGCAAGAGGTCTCCTTGCAGACCCACCTGGGACCCCTCGCCCAGCCTGTTCTTGCACTTTCCTAGCCGAAAAAGGCCTGGATGGAGGGGGTGGTGGAGCTGCAGGTCCTGCGAAGTGGGGGTCCCTGCTGCCTTCCTCCCCCAAACCATCCCCGCTGCGGCTCGCCTCAATGGGGAAGGTGCTAGCAAGTTTTAGAGCCCGTTTTAGCGGGTTACTGGGAAGCAGCTTGGGATGATCAGGGCCACGGGGTTTGGAATTGCTGGCGCTGTAAGTGGAGCGGGATTTTCGGGTGAAGGAAATATCTGAAATAACAACACACTGACACAGCCTTGCAGACGCGGCTGCAGCGTCGGCGTGTGGTGAACCGGCTCACAGAGGTCGATGGGAAATCGTCCACCGCCTTCGGTGAGCTCTGCCGCAGCCCCGGCCTGTTTCTGCTCCAAGAATTTCCCAGCTCCGTTGCAAACACTAATGGCTAGAGCCACTTACCGGCTTTCCATCACAATGTTTTTTTGTTTTGTTTTTTTCCAAGTGAAAAACAGCATTTGACACAAAGGGAAGTTTTGCAAACATGTTTTTGCTGGGGAGCCAAGAATATGGAAACCAAATGTTTTTAAGCAACCAAAACAATGCATTTCTTTTTTTCTAGGTTTAAAGTAAAAATGTGGGAGCTGGGTTTTTCCAAGTAAATGTGAAAAAACTCTCAAGAATTTTCCTTGTGACTAAAACAAAAACAATCTTTTTTCTTCCCCAGAGGTTTCCCCGGGTGCTGGGGAATCATTTTCTGAGCAGCATGGCTAATTTAATAAAGCCAGCAGGTGAAGCACCCATTTCACAGGTGGGAAAAGTGAGGCCTAGCAGAGCAGTTCAGTGATTAGTGTTAAGGCAGAGGCAGGAATAGAAGCCAGGAGTCCTATCAACAGCACTCGATGCACGGGGAAGGACAGACCAACCCTCTGCCCTGGGCACTGGGTCGTCTCTCCCCTGAGCAAGAGGGAGGAGGGCAGAGGGTGGCATCTCTCCCCCTGGGAGCAGGGGCGGGCTGCAGTCCTGGCGACCCCCACTGCAGCAGTGGGCACCCTCAGGGCTGGGCAGAGCCCGCGCCTTTTCAGCCAGGTGGGATGTTTCTAAGTAATGATCGTACAGCGGAGCTGCCAGACCTCGCCCGGGCGTGCTGCTCAAGGCTCCAGCCCCCAGACGCAGCCAGAGGAAGGAGGCTGAGCTGGTCTGCGAGCTGCAACCCAACGCCTGTGGTGCAAGCCCCCTCCCTGCAGAACCAGGAGCCAGAGCCTATGGCCCTTTGCTTTTCCTGCTGATGGCATGCTTTGCACCCTGGGCCTTCTGGCTTTGGCATGCCCCCAGCCTCTCCCCACAGTCATGCATGCTGCAAATGGACAGTGGAGGTTCACGCTTCATCACAGGCCTCCAGGAGCTGAGGCTTTACTTGGAAGGGGGAAGAAAGGAGCATCACTGTGGTGGTAGATGTAGCACAGCATGGGACAGTCAAGGGGTAGGAAGGAACGGTAGTGCCAGGGCCCAAGGTTGCAGGGGAGCTGCATGCCCAGCGCAGGCTGGGCTGAGGCAGCTCCATGCTGGCTGGGCAGCGGCTGCAGGCTGCAGCAGGGCTGGGCTGGGGGCATGCACTGCCCCCTCCTCTTGCAAGGGAGCCTCCATGCGGCAGGACCTGGCACAGCTCCCTCCATCCCCCTGAAGGTACAGCAGGCCCTGCTGCAGCAGGAGCACTGGGTTTGCTCTCCGGATGGTCTCTGCTCGGGTGTGGGGCAGGGAGAACTTCCCTCCCGGACACCCTGGCAGCCCCTGGCTCCCTGCGGCGCCAGCATCGCTGGGCTCCTGGACTTGCAGCTGCAGCCCGGGTCCAGGAGGGAGCTGACTGTGTGGTGGCAGAGGTGATATTTTTTATTAGACCAACTAGATATTTGCAGAAAAAATTCTTCATTTCCAAGCTTTCAGGCTTAGGCACCCTTCATCGGACATAGGAGATTGCAAGGAGAACTTTTACAATCTTTGCAATCTCCTATGCCTGATGAAGGGTGCCTGTGCCCAAAAGCTTGCAAATAAAGCAATTTTTTTTGCAAATCTCTTTTTTGGTTCATTACACCCTCCCCCACCCCACCCCAAACTCTCACACACACACACATAATTTCCTGCTGCAGTCACTTGCCTGGATGACATTGGTACACGCTGCATGCCCTGGCTGTGTGCCCATCCCCATAGTACACGCAGACAGGGTTGCAAGAAGCCCAGGGCAGAGAAGGCATCCCCCTCCCCAGGCGGGCTCATGGTCTCCTCTGGAAGCTGGCCAGCCCCAGGCATCTGAGAGCAATAAAGAGCCAGGAGCTGATGGTGCCATATTAGCCCCGACACGCAACATTGTACAGTAATTTTCCACTGTGATCACTGATCGTTTGCTCCTCATTATCCAGCTTTAATGGGCTTTAGGCTTGTTGTTATTCTGTGCACATGTCCACACCGCTCAGTCTGTACCAAAGCCAGGAGCGCTCCCCTCTCAGCCCGGTGCCCCCAGACAGGAACCCAGGCTGCTTGGCAGAGATGGGGCAGCTCACCAAGGCCTATTTTACATGGATTCAGGAGATCTGCTCCGTTCTGTGTCCGTCCAGCACTGCCATACCGGGGCAATAGCGAGGGTTTCTGCTGTGCTGGTGGACAGCCCCAAGCACGGTGGTCCAGGCTCCCGAATCCTGGTCTCCCTCAGCCTTGGCCATCACCCCTGCTCTGGTCTCCCCTCCAGCGCTGCACATCCACACACGGAGAAAGAAGCAAAACCTGAGCGCAGACCCAGTTCTCAGGCCCGGGAGCCCGCCTTGCACCTGCAGCATTGTTTTCACATGGGAGATGCTCAACATGGCAAGCAAGAGCTAACTGCCCCTTCAATGTGGCTCCCAAAAGGTGCAGAGCCAGGCGCGCTCAGAAACTATTTGCCATTGCCAGGCACAACCCCTCCAGACTGAGGGACCCTACAATGCTGCCAGGGCATCCAGCGTGCCCCATACCACACTAAACTCACTGCTCTCCACTCCAGAGATAGCCTTGACCACACTAGGCACAGCCCAGCGTGTGCCACCCCACCGGCTACTGCTGGGTCCAGGCTCAGCACTCGCCATGCCTGGCAGGAGCTGGACGTGGCAGTAGCCAGCATGGGGAGGCAGGGGACAGCACCCACCGTGCCAGACACGCTGAGTCAAACCCTCCTGGCACAGCACATTCACCTACAGGTGCAGCACTTACCCCGCCAGGTGCCATGTGCCCGCCCAGAGGCACCACGTGCCCGGTTCAGGTACAGGATTTAGCACGCCAGGCCAGGGCTGCCACACTGGGTGTGAACCAGGCACCGTGCTGCCCACAACTCGGCAGAGCTTTCACCCCCGGAGGTACCGGACCCCCTGCTCCAGGGGCAGCAAACAGCGTCAGCAAGTTCCCACCTCATGCCCCTGCACCGGTCGCTGGAGACCTGCTGCCGTGGGGCTTCGGAGATATCAGGACCACTGTCATATCCCATGAGTGCAGGTGACAACGGTGCTTCTCTGCTGCAATCTGAGCACAAATCACAGTAGAGAGAGAGAGACTCATAGACAATGGGGGCTGGAAGAGACCTTAGGGGGTCACATCCAGTCTGACCCCCTGCTCTAAGCAGGACCAGCCCAACTTCATCATCCCAGCCAGGGCATTGTCTACCCAGGTCTTAAACACCTCCAAGGATGGAGACTCCACCACTGCTCTGGGAAGCCTGGTCCAGTGCTTCACCACCCTCCTGGTGAGGAAGTTTTTCCTAATATTCAAACAAAA